TTTTCCTCATGCAATCTAGGTATGGGACCATGACACATGCGGTTGGGACGAAAATTATAACAGAAAGTTGCTATTCGCCGATAGAAAAAATCCTGAGTGGGAGATGGACTCGCACAGCTCCAAGAACTGGCTACTGAAGGAGCTCCAGATCTCTGGCTTCAGGCCGCTGGAACAGCAGTTTACATTTATAAGGGCCTTGCTGGAGCGAGCCCCCAACTTGCAGACGATTGTCCTGAAAGGAGACATAGAGTGCGTGTGGGATTGTGTCGCCCTCACAAGAGAGTCTTTATTTCCAAAGAGTGAGGCTGATCAAGAAATGGTGGTGAGGCGAATCACAGACGGCAAACCCTTGCCCCGAGTGATCTTCCATGAATGATCCTGTTTTCTTCGGATCATCTTTGTTGTTTAAGCTGCAAGGACTGAGTTGTCTGTATGACCTGTATCGTTTTGGGTGTTCAGTCAGACAGTTGGATATGGGCCTGTGTAATGAATTCAGTGAGAGTGAGAGATTGGTATGTGCTAGGAACTAAGGCTGGGTTTCATTTCGTGAGAAGCACAGCATGCATGCAAGTTCATGTTCAAGTTGAACTTCTGGTGCTAGCTAAGCTATATTCTTTCTTTCTTTTGGTTGGTTGCTTGCATGCTGGGAAAACCATTAATCCTGAACTTGTGATGCCTGCGCTATACTGTTGTATATACTTGGTTCTCAACTACTCCCTTCATCCCACAAAGTAAGACATTTTTGCAAGCTATGCAAAAATGTCTTACTTTGTGGGACGGAGGACATACCTTGCGAAAGCGTGTTCCATTGTGGGATGGAGGGAGTAGCACACATCTTCTCTATAATATGCAACTTATCCAAATAGTTTTCAATGAATAAGCATGTTGTCTACATGCCTTATAATTATGTTATTTACACTGTAAGTCTGTAAGGGTGGGTCATTTGTAACGTTTTCTATGTTAACTCGAACACTTTTCTATGATTGGCAGCAGTGTGAAAGCCTTGAAGTTCTTTTTTTTGGCATGCTCAAAGCCCTAAGGTTGTCAGGGCAAGTAAGAAAATGTTTGGGCCATAGGTATGTAGCGATTCGTTTTCCAAAGATAGGCAACTAAGCAGGCGATGAATAAGCCCTAGCCCAACCCGTTCATCTACCCCTCTTGACGCCG